TTTTAATTGACTCATAAATAGGTTGTTGGATATACCCATACTCATTTATTTAATCAATACAAATGGGTTAACCTAATTATACTCATTACCAAATTATTACCGGTTCAAACCCATTTGAGCCACCCATTTTGACACCTTTAATGTTATGGAAGGTTAGCTCCTACATCATACCTCTTATAAAATGAAGGACAGGCCGACTAATCAGAAGGTGTTTTTAAACGGAAAAATCCTGAACTAATTCACTGTTCTTGGCCTAATTACACCAGGGGTGGCAATTTTCGACACGACCTGAAAACACGACACGAATCTAACACGAAATTAATGGGTTTGGGTTGAGGTTTTGGGAATTCGGGTCAGAATCGGGTTGGACCCGATGCACCCGAAAAGAAAACAGGTCGATTTCGGGTCAACCCGTGGTGACCTGATATGACCCGATATGACCCGTTTACGAATTAAAAATAATTTAATAAATATAAAAATAATTTTATCTAACTAACCTAAGTTATTCTTTTTTTCAAAGGCATTAATTACTTAATCATAAATGAATTTATTTAATTTGTGTGAAGTTGAAATTATTATATTTGGATAAATAATATATTATATTATTTTTACTTTTATACTGTTTTAATTTATTATATTTTGTTTGGGATAAAACACTTTTACGGTGTTTAATTTATTTTAGATTTGGTTTGGAATTACTTATTTAAAATTTTATTACTTGATTATGTAATTAGTTTTGTGAGAAATTGATTTTATTAGAAATTACAGTGATAAATTAATAAATTAAAATTAAGTTTCGGGTCATTTCGGGTCGACCCGCCAACCCGTCAACCTGAAATTTTCGGGTTCGGGTCAGCATACCTGACCCGTCACGGGTTGGCGGGTCGGGTTCGGGTCAACAGATTTTCTGGCGGGTTGACCCGAATCCGACCTGCCAACCTGATTTGGACCCGAATTGCCACCCCTAAATTACACTACCTTAATTGGAAAGCAAATGTAAATGCTAGAATGCAAAATGCGGGTAGAAATTGACATCTCCCGCAGCAAAGGACTTTCTTGGCCAGGTCCTCTCCTTATCTTTTTTAGTATTTCATTGATGTTGTGTCGCATCTATTGTCGTTTTCCTTTGGAAGAAAAGTGTTACACTAATTAGTAATTGTTAGTGAAATAATAAAAAATAGGCTGATACACTATAGAGAAGAGTAAATACAACCTAGAAAGAAAGAAATAATCGAAAATAACAATAATAACAATCCGAGACTTGTGAGCACAATTTCCTTAAAATAGATTCGCCCCCTCCAGGTAGAGTGCTGGCTCGAGGTTAAGTAGGCGTCTGTCTCCCAGGATACAACGGATTAAAGGTGAATATGTCAGTACCAAACTTTCTTCACCACAGCGAACTTCTTCACGTTTATCAAAGTACCACATTCATGTACATACATGTATCTCAATAAGATAACTCCAAAATCATGTATTAAGTACATGAATCCTATCCAAAATCATGTATCAATAATTAATATACATGAATCTTATGTACATGAATGATAGATAATTATCCTTGGATTCTTTTAAGAGTGTCATTATGAGAACAATTTTCTCATTCACTCTACAATGGATATAGCCATTTTTCCAACAGTAATTACCCAAGAAGGTGAAACACGTTGATGTTCTAAATTATTGCGTAAACAATTAGGTATTTGTATATTCACATGTATAACAAAGAGAAATCACACGGCGCGATCAAGTTTTGGATTAATTGCAACATGCACTGCAAACTACTATCGATTTGCACTTTAGTTTTGAAACTATTAATTCTAATAGTTTAACATTAGGAGTACTGGTTTAAAAATTTGGAGGAATCCATGCAGGTTTTCATAAAAAAGTCGATTGTTATATTGCTCTGAAAAACCTTCTAATAACAGTTACTTATCAATTTTCATTCACCATTTACCCTTTTTTGCTTTAAACCATTCGTTATTTTTGATAATTTACTATTCTAAACTTAAGATCATACTCGTCACTCTCTAATTTAGTCATATTTCCTCTCTAATCCCAATTTCTCGTTTGGATTGCTATTTTTTTTGGAATTTTTGTAGAAAAAATACTATAGCAATAATATTTGTGTGATAAAAAGGCGACTGAAAAATATGTTCATTAAAAACATAAAATTTTTCTGCAAAAAATTCCAATTTAAACAATGTATAAGCAAGAAATGGTAAAACGTGAAAAAGTTTGTTACTAAAAAAGTTTTGAATCTCTACTTGGATGTGGGTCAAAGATATAGCTTCAAATCTCTTGGCCCGCATTATAAAAAATCCAGGCTTTCCTGGAAAAGTTTACTGGCAAGTGCGTAGGCACTCATTTGGGCTAGTGATAATTTAGTTCCTTTCGAGTTTTCCTTAAATCTCTTTAGCTCCGCTCTCGTCCTAACCTAATATAGAGTAGGAGTACGTCCAAAATAGATTTTATTGTGTCTAAAAAAATTTTCAATATGTAAGTAAGGAGTGGTCCCCAACAGCAAGAAAAGCTGCCCATACAAGTACAACGGAACAGGCCCCCACGTGAATGGGCTGGTGGTTGGCGCCTCTTCCTCGGGACCGTCAGGTCCTGGGGTCGAACCTCCGCAGCAACATCGGCTTCTCCGTGCATCTAACGTGCTAGGTCTGGTTGGGGCGCTGGGCCGGGTTGAAGTGGGATTAGTCGGGCCGCCTTTACGGACTTGATCCGGACACCCACTCCGTCGACAAAAAAAAAAAAAAAGTACAACGGAACAGAACACCGTAATTAACTCTCTAATCCCAATTGGGTATGCCACAATTAATCACTTCGTTGAACATGACCGACAGAGCCGTGCATTACTGACGATAGACTGAATTGAAAAGCTTTTATCAGGCCACAGTACATGGGATACGGGGCAGGAGCGGTCGTCAGGCCGACCGCTCCTGAACGGTCTCCTCACAATCAAAAATGTGAGGAGACAAATGAGCCAAGTCAGCAAGTCTTCAGCAGGGCAAGGAACGACGCCGTTTCAAATAAAAAAATATTGACTTCCAAACGGGAGCAGACGAGCAAACGGAAGATTCGTGATTTTGAAATTCAAGTTGAAATTTTGAACTAGCCGCAGAAAACAAAACTTCAGCGGAGAGTCTTGGCGTGCTTGTGAAGGTACTCTACTCTGACCGACCGCTCACTAAAGGTAGAAAGCTGAAGTTCGGCTGGGCTTCAACCTACTGGGTGTTTCTAGGTGAAGTGGGTGAAGTCTACTCTGATGAAAGTAGTAATTGACAGAAAAGTGGGTGGAGAGGCAGGCGGCAAGGGAGAATAAAACAGAGACGAAATCAGAGTTTGTTCGTAAAACTGAATAGCAGAAGTAGCTATGGTCTTCAACTGGGTATGAGAGTGTTGTATCCATTTTGAATGCAACCAAGGCAGGCGGTAAGGTAAAAGCAAACAGAGAAAATTGAGCATTTCATGAAGCCAGATTTTGTCCTTCAACTTAATAGCAGAAGCAGCTACGCTCTCCGACTTCGGTGAAACGTAAAGCGTATTAGCAGACCAAGGTAATGTGAGTGAACCATGCTAGTAACTGTGGCCAATAATTTGTCACCCAAATGCACATCTGTTAAATGAATGATGAAATTAGAGTCATTGAAGACATAATATGAAGATGATAGAAAAATAGTGAAATTGTACTATATTTGTGTGTGTGTATCGTATCGTATCTGTGTGTGTGTGTGAGCATTCAACTTTTCAGTGATGGACTATATTGGGATAGTAGTTATTGGAAGACCTTTCAAGTAAACTGTCGAACGGAATTAGGGAAAGATGAGAGAAACAAAGTCACATTTAACAAGTGAATTAATGTACATCCTGTTGTAAATTAGTTACATGTTATAGCTACCGTATTACAATTGATATGAATCATTGTGCATGTAGTAGTTGGTTCATGATCATGGGCAATATTAGTTTGCCCCTCTCGTGACCATGCAGTGTGTATAAAATGGAGGCGTAGAGTTGAATGAGGTGAAGTAGAGGAAAAGACATATATATGAATAATAAATGGGTGAACCTTGTGTTGTAAGTAAATTACATGATGTAAGAAATATATTATAATGAGTAGAAAGTGCTTGTTTGGCTCTCAAAATGTAGAAATAATAGAAAATGCGGAGTTGGCTTATGCGGTTGACAGTAATGAATGACATAAGGTCCAGTGTGCTAAAGAACCTAGAATTAAAATATAATCACCAGCGTGGATGTACATTCAGTTAAAATAAACTTACATCATGTGACCAATACATTACAGTCTGTATAACTTGGTGTACATGGAGTTGTATTTGTACATAGATAATGCCGTTGTCTTAGAGTAAAAGTAAGGTGATGTGAATCATTAATCATATTGATAAGCGTAATAATAGAATTTGGTATACGAGTAATGTGTGATTTATAACACATTATGAATGGTAATATACATTTATGTTGCCATTTATGTACATACTATTCATGAAGTGTTGCAAATTAGGGTGTTTGATGCATAATTAGCAGGAGCAGAAGTAATGGATTGCAGTAAATTGGCAGAAGATCGGACCCCTAAGTTAGGAATGGAATTCAACAATGAAGAGGATGCGTACACATTTTACAACAAATATGCCTTTAAAATGGGATTTAGTGTACTATCTAAATAAAGATAAAGATGGTGTGACCATGTTTAGGAGATATAGTTGCTACAAGGAAGGTGTAAAACGCAAGTACGAAGGTGATGTGATGCCAAAGAGGACACGATCACCGACGAAAACGGGGTGTGGAGCTAAAATGATTATCGTGTTACTTAGAGGGACAATGAAATACCGTGTGCATGACCTTGTTTTAGAACATAACCATGAGTTGCACATTACTCAATGTTCGCACATGATACCATCACAAAGAAAAGTGAGTGAGGCTTAAGGATTCAAGCTGAAATAAGCGAGGATGCTGGGCTTTCATTGAAACAGAGCCATGAGCTTATGGGAAAGGAGGCAGGTGGCTTGGGAAATGTGGGATATACTCGGGAAGATCTAAAACGATATCTTCGTACTCGACGGGAAAGGAGTTTGAAATACGGAGAAGCAGGTAGCATGCTGAATTATTTTCAAGAGCAAACACTCAAGAATCCATCTTTTTTTCATGCCGTACAGCTGGATTGTGAAGAGCAGATAACGAATATTTTTTGGGCTGATGCAGGAATATTAATTGACTACAACTTTTTTTGGAGATATAGTCACATTCGACACAACCTACAAAACAAATAAAGAATACCGGCCTTTTGGAGTGTTTGTGGGTTTTAACCAACATAGGCAATTTGTGATATTCGGTGCTGCCCTTATGTATGATGAGACTATAGATTCTTTCAAATGGGTGTTTGGTACATTTCTAGAAGTAATGTACGAAAAGCGTCCAAGTACCATACTAACCGACCAAGATCACGCCATGGCAGCCGTTCTTTCAGTTGTCATGCCTGAAACATTTCACGATCTATGTACGTTTCACATAAGATGTAATTTTATGAAACATCTTGACAATCACTACAAGGAAAATAGTGACCTTCCATACATGTTTGGTGCCTGCATGTATGACATTGAAGAAGTGAAACAATTCAACAAGTTGTGGGAGGCGATGGTGAAGAAGCACAATCTTGAAAATAATGAATGGCTTTCCGGGCTGTATCGAATTCGTGATAAATGGGCAAGGTGCATGATGAAAGAAAGATGGACTGCGGGAATGCGAAGCACCCAACTTAGTGAAAGTCTAAATGCAGCAATAAAAAATTATTTGAAACTGGATCACGACCTTGTGCAGTTCTTTAGACATTTCAATCTGGTGGTTGATGATAAGAGACATAATGAACTCATTGCAGAATATGAAATGAGGCAAAAGCTTCCCATGGTAGGGTTGAGGCAAACACTTATGCTTGTGCATGCAGCAGAGACGTATTCACCAACCGTATTTGTTGCATTCCAAAATGAATATGGTGAGTCAACATCTATGGTTATATTGAGACAACAAGATCCAAGGATGTTTGTGGAGTTTGCGGTAATGAGGTATGATGGAGGACCTGAAAGAATAGTGGTATTCAATCGGACTGATCTAAGTGTACGCAGTAGTTGCAAAAAATACGAGAATGAAGAAATTTTATGTGGGCATGCGTTGAAGGTGTTTGATACCGTGGGCATAAAGACAATTCCTCCGGAATACGTTAAGAGGCGATGGACAAAAAGACCTCGAGCTGGGGACTGTTTTGATCGGCGAGGACGGAAATTGTGGTTGATCCAAAAGTAATCATTTCAACTCGTTATCGGGAACTCGCTCCAACCATGATTAAGGTCGCAACTCGAGCAGCAATGTCGGAGGACACCAGCAAAGTAGTAATCACCGTCATATCCATTTGGCAAAGAGAGTTGAGCTCCTCCTCTCAGAAAGTGAAGAGCAACCTTCACAAAATCATAAAAATCTGAATGTGGAGGAACGAGATAAAATTGAAATTGTAAATGAAATGGGAGAGGCAATAGTCGCAAGAGGCATTAAGAAACGAGGCTGTGAGAAGAGAAGTAGAGTGATGCGAAGTTGGGTCGATAAATTTGATAGAGTAAAAAGAAAATCTAAATTGTCAAGAACTACAGAGACTACGGTATGGATCCAATTTTTGTGATGGTAAATATTTATGGGAAAAAATTCTTATTATATAACCGTTAAGTAAAGTTTAGGTACCATTCAGTATGAAATAACATTAATGTCGTGTCAAATATACAGGTCTCAGAATCGGAGCCGACATCGATTGAATTTGATGAACACATATTTATGGGATGTCGCTCATCTACTGACTCAGTTTCGATTAGTATAAAATGATCAAAGCTTTAGCTTTTATTTAAATGTTTCTAACAGCATAATTCGTTATATGGATGTTACATTATGTGATAATTTTGTTACGCCTGTCATCCTCCCTGATATATTTATTTTGTCTGTTTTATACAATTATTTGGTTCTTCAAAACTCGTAGGCGCATTCAAGGAGCCAGTCAGTGAATGGCCCTCCAAATGCTGTTGCTCCCGAAATCGAAGAAAGTGAAATGGTATGCATACATTTAGTAGGAAAAATAAAAACTTTGTTATTCGTATCGTATAACTCCTTTAGGCGTTTTGTCATGGTCGACACCCGGACGTTTGAAAGCATGTATATTATTCAGTTAACGTATGCTTGTTTCTATAACAAAATGTTTTGTATTATCCGAAAGTTCACCGTTTGGCTAATCAGGGGCCTCCTGCAACAGTCCCTACAGAATGAATGCACCCAAATTTTCTATTTTTTTCAAGCATAACTCCGTCAGAGATATATTAACGGTTTGATATATCGTTTCTTGTTATAATGTCTACTCCAATTTAACTTTTGAACCGAGAAATATAGGCACTGGTAATGATTTGTTAACAGTTGAATATTTATTTTATATCATATAGGAGGAGCGTGCGGCAATTTCAACACACTGTGATATTGATGGATATAATGTATTTTCACCATCACCACAGGTGACAAACATTTATCATTATATCACATCTTTATGTAGTACTGTTAATTGGATATTTGGCGACTTGGATATCGTATATTATTAACCGTATGTACCATTAGGTGTATTAGCTGATTTGCCATCGTTACATATTTCAGGAAAGAAATAACACCCAGGGATTGCGACTAACTGTTGACGTCGCCACCCTCAGATGCAGGTTGATGAATGATGTGTACCTCTAATTTTTTAACGACACATTAATTGGTTGACCAAACTATTGAGTTCTAATTATCCATTCATCAAGTTGACCTCATTTTTTGGTGTTAGTACTTCTCTGTTGAAGATATTGTTCAGTTTCAATCGCTTCGCTATTGTGAGTTTCTTTTAATAGACAATTTGGAAATGAATTAGTGCATGTCTTGAATGAGATTTGCGGCGTTTTTGGAAGCTCAGTTGTGATTGGACCTCCATATCGTCCTGGTTGGGAATGCTGCATATCTACGTTACAAGCAGTTAATAAGGTGTTACAAGTTATTCATGTGCTTGTACAGGCACCTTCAATATTTCACTGTGTTCAAATTTAGACAAGTGGATAGAAAGTTTATAATAATGTCCAGTGTTAATAGTCATCAAGTATTCTGTAATGTGTTGTGTAAAGTTATTAAGAATTTATAAAGTTTACTGAAAATTAGAGTAACAATTTTCAATACGATTGAACGTGCTTCGCTATGTTTATGGTATTTTTTCATTGAATACCATAACAAATGACTGTTGTGATATATATACCATTGTCCAGCATTCAGTTACAACCGTAAATAACATCTTTATTGCTCGTTGATGGCACTTAGAATGGTTAGATGTATCATATAGCAATCGGCCTTTACAAATTATTATTATTTTGGATAAGTATGCGTTGCTGAATTATTATGTGCCATTTAGTCACCAAAAAAATTACTTTTGGCACTACATACGGGTCAGATTTTCAGAACGAACGGTTCGCACCATTTGTAATGATGTACTACAGGCACTTCGATAGGTTTTACAAGAATCTTTCAAATTGAATTATGATAAAATAAACTTTCAGGCCAATAATGGGAAGGTAATAGTACAAGGGATAGGCTAATTTCCAACAGTTAAAACTAAGTTTTATAATACAACAAGTATTCATAACGAAGCGTACAGAATGTGTTACAACCAAACTTTTGTTGTTGTGGGATATAAAACTGCAACCACGCCTTTTATAGTCCGCAGGACCCTCCCAATGTCCTAAAATATCAGGGGCCAACGTAATGGGTATGAGAGAATATGGGTATGAGAGGATAAAGTAATGGTTGTGGGTTCACCGGGTGAGTATCACACGGGTGGCAGTTAATATGTAGCTCTCAGAGATTATAAACTAGCAACCATGGAGTCAAGTTTGCTGCAAGTCTTTACGTACAAACCGTGAAAGCGGCATTACAAGACATTCGAACAGTGTTACGATGAGTTACTGTAGTGTTACGAATGTGCTTTAGTATTTAATATTTGTTGGTCAACTAGTTACGAATAATGTAATCGTGCCCAGTTCAATTTGTTTGTGTAAGTAATTACTCTTGAAATCTGTAAAATTAGATTAGAGGATAAGGTTTAGTCCTGCTTGCTTCAACAAACAAAAGGGTATGCGTTCGTGATAAAAGTAAAATTTAGAACCAAATATTATGTAAAGACTCCTATGCATTAAAAGGGTAGGTCTCCTAAAATCTGAACTTAAATTTTGGACAAAGTTACTATGTAATTGTAACATTTACCAATCCTTCAACTTAATTAGTCGTGCCATCATTTGAGGTTAAGTGGTCATGGTAAAAGGTCAACTTACAAACAAATAACATCTATAATTACTCAGTTTGCATTAAAAGATTAGTCATGGAATCCTAGTCGATTTTGTTGTTAAAGATACAGAAAAGGCAGTGTAACTAAGGCCACATATGTTTTGTTCCCAATAACTATGATAATAATGCAAACAAATTTTATAAAACCTGTTTGTTAGTCGACATGTTCGGGTCGATGTTGTATAACAATGCACGTGCACTAACTTCATATGTGCTCAATGTAACAAATTTTGAACTACGAAAACTATTCTTGGGTCCAAACGTGACCTGTATGGACCCCATACTGGGTCCAAGTTTATATGAAGGATGTTGTATGGACTCCGTACTTTATATGTGCTATGTTGTAACTTTATATGTACTCTTTGTAACAAATATTGAACTACGAAAACTATTCTTCGGTCCCTAATTTATGGGGAGACATCTATGGACCCCATACTGCAATGTGTTCATCATCGAAATTTAACAACAGGTACACTTATGTACATATGATGACTGTCAAATTAAAAGTTCTATTAATCTACAATAAGGTTAATATAGTCCTTGTCAATATACCCCAAAACGTAGTCTACACCAATTCAAAAGCTATATTAGACACATAACAATGTACAAATGGAAGAACATCCAATTTTGTCAACTACAGTCACATCTGACTAATTGAAGTTCAGGCAATACCAACAGAGTCACTGCGCCCGTTTTGGTACTTGTAGGTTTGCAAAGCTATCCGGAAACTTAGAGTTCTCCGCTGAGGTACACAATCGAGCTGTGTACAGCACTCGATACTTGCCAACATTTTCCTATCCAATTTAAACGTAATAAATATTTTCGAAAGCAAAGGCAACAACTATAAACCACAATTTCAAATGTAAACTAGAAAAAAAGGTTGTGTCATTGTAATACCTCTGTAAGCCGAACAGCCAACCTTCCGTTCCAATGCTCTAAGAATATCATAATAAAGACACCACTATCACATCTGTTCATGTTATCTTCTCATTAGTCAGTTAGAGTGTATGTGTTGTAATAAAATATTTGGATCTCTAACAATAATGGTGTGAGAAGTGAAACTATTTACACTTTATTTGGTGAGTGATGAGGTACATCGGCAAGTGCCTCGAGAAACTGGAGAAGTCAATTTCCTTGCCAAACTTTGTCGCACGTTTCTGTAGCACCAAAGATTATGTAAAACAGATTAGAAGCACTAATGTGTCATCCTCTTCTCTTGTAATGCATTTAGGTGACAGTCCAACATACCAGTCGATTCAGTACACTAATATCTTTGCTCTTTGCTTGATCGCTATTAGGGTCTAGCAGGTGCACTTCTCTCTGTGAGACATCAAAGCTGTAGACAAACCAATACCCCTCTGTGCATACTGGCACAAGTATCTGAAATGAATGAGGTATAAAAAAGGTAACACACAAAAGGTATGTAACTTGATTCTACATTTTTGCATATTCAACATCTAATAAAAAAAAGCTTTCGGTTAAAGGTGGTAATTGCATACCCAATTACAATTCGCGGGATCAACCCCCGTATTGTTATTACGAACTTTGAATAGTTTTTCAGTTTAGCAGATAAGCTGGCATTAGACAGCTTGTCAAATTTTTCCATTTTTAAAATTCCTTCCTGCAACCAATAATATGGGCGAGTAGGAGCAGTGTAGATGACATCAGTAATAATGCGTTGGCTCGTAATACCAATTTAGATATGATGCAGAAAAAATTGTAACACATAATAGGATGCAGTCCAAATTTCAAACTCACAATAGTGAGAGGTTCAACGATGTAGCGTTCAAACTTCTACTTTTGGCAGTTCTTCCACCCCAATTCATGAGACGGGCTAATCAATATCCAAGGGTGTCCAAAAGATGTAATTGATTGTTACAATTGCATTTACATATCACTAATCGGATCAATAAATTCATAATCAAACTTTTTGAATAAACGTAATAAACTACTGACCCGATTCGACACATGCATGCCATTTTCAAGTGTCTTCAAGTGAAGCCGCGTCAGCGAGAATTGAAACATTTGAATAAGTATGTCCCTATCAGATCCGGGACACAATTTAACGATTTACTAATAATTAATATTCGTATTCCAACAAACAGATATGTAATGTATATGAAGTCAATGCTCATCCATTTTCATACAGTTTTCCTGTGCCATCTTACAATGAACCACATACGTAGTTATTGAAGTGAATGGACAACAAGGTCGAATTAATAGTTTTGTCAAGAATCTTACTTGAATTTTTGTCAGGGTCCCATGCATATGCAGCTACATTTTTTTCATACATACTTACTGTCACACGTGCTGTTAGAATGTACTCCGCTGATCGCAGAACGATGCTCTTCTTTGTTGCACGTGTAGACTTGTGCTTTATCTCAATGTCAAGACCTCCTAAAAAGTAAAGAACATGCATTTCAAATGCAATTTTTTTGTAGTTGTATAACACATTGTAAATCATTTTGTAACACTCTTCAAACAGTTCTGTATTAATTTTTAAACACACTATAATTTCCCAAGAACTATTTTGTACCAGTCTTAAACCTCACTATAACTGCTAAAATAACTATTGTATAACAGTTTTCAAACACGCTGTAACTTCCCAATAACTATTTTGTGAGGAGACTTCAAACACGTCGTAACTAACAGTCTTCAAATATGGAATTGTGTATTAATTTTGCACTGTAACTTCCCAAATAACTATTTTGTAACAGTTTTTGAACACACTGTACCTTTCCAATAACTAGTTTGTAACAACCTTAAAACATTTCGTAACTAACAGTTTTCAAATATGGAGTTTTGTATTAATTTTCAAACTGTAACTTTCCAAATCACTATTTTGTAATAGTTTTCGAACACATTGTAACTTTTCAATAACTAATTTGTAACAACCTTCAAACACGTCGTAACTAACAGTATTCAAATATGTAATTTTGTATTAATTTTTAAACTGTAACTTTTCAAATAACTATTTTGTAACAACTTTCGAACACACTATAACTTTTCAATAACTAGTTTGTAACAACATTAAAACATTTCGTAACCAACAGTTTTTAAATATGGAGTTTTGTATTAATTTTCAAACTATAACTTTTCAAACAACTATTTTGTATTAGTCTTCGAACAAACTGTAACTTTTCAATAACTAGTTTGTAACAACCTTTAAACACGTCGTAACTAACAGTTTTCAAATATGGAGTTTTGTATTAATTTTTCAAACTGTAACTTCCCAAACAACTATTTTGTAACAGTTTTCGAATACACTGTAACTTTTCAAAAACTATTTTGTAACAACCTACTAACACTTCGTAACTAACAGTTTTCAAATATGGAGTTTTGTATTAATTTTGAAACTGTAACTTCTCAAATAAATATTTTGTAACAGTTTTCGAATATACAGCATAATTCTCAATAAATATTTTGTAACAACCTACAAACACACTGTAAACAGTCTTCAAATATGGAGTTTTGTATTAATTTTCAATATGTAACTTTCCAAATAAATTTTTTGGTAACAATCTTGAAAAACACTGTGACTTTCCAATAACAGTTTTGTAACAGTTTTCAAACAAAGTATAACTAACAGTTTTTCAAACACACTGTAATTTCCAATGCAGTAAAAATAGGGGCAACCAATTTTACAGCGACATTTCAAACCCATATAGGTAGTATCATTATGGTATAAATACGCTTACCGTATGTGTGTATAGCTG